AAGGATGCCGTCTGCTTTGAAAGTAAAATCTTTCTAGGTGGTTCTCTTACTTTTCGGAGAGAAGACATGTTGACAAAAGACACCCGTGAGTAAATACATAAGAATGTATTTAACCCTATTGTAAATGAGCTTGTCAAAATAGTTTGAAACTGGCATATGTGAAAACCTCTTCACTGAGGATTTTCTCTGGGCTAGGCATTACCTTGTTACCCACACATTTTTAAGAATTGATGAACTCTTTCCATGGATGATGCTCTGGCATCACAGTCATTACAAATGACTCCAAAGGCTGATGGTTTTCTTCCTTCGCTCTCTCCAGAATTTCGTGTATTCCGTCTATCCTCTTTTTTTTTTTTTTTTTTTTTTTTTTGGTTTTTCTCCGGTACCGGGAACCGAACTCACGACCTTGCACTTGCCAGGCAGGTGCTTTTGCCGCTGAGCTAAATCCCCAGCCCCCCGTCTATCCTCTTAAGCTTGTGGCCTGTGTCACTTCATTAAGTAACTGTTCTACTCTGGCCCCTCCTAGCCCACAACTACAAAATTCCAGATTGGCATGAAGCCGGGGCAGGAGGTGAGTTTACATTTAGCATCATGGAAATCTCATAGGTCTATGTGACGAGGTAGTCATCTTCACAGTCATGGGTCCCAGTAGAGATCTCCTTTCAAAGATCAGCAAAGGCAGCGATTCCTTACCTACCACCTATATACCTGACTGGAAATCACAACTCAGAAAACAATGCAGAAGGTCATGAGTGGATTCAAGGAAGAGACATGGGGAAAGGAAGAAGTGGGAAAAAGAACTTTACATACATTTTCAGAGTCCCCCGGTCATTCTGCAAGGAAGAGGAACTTAGTATCCCTGGGTTTCACTATGATGAATGGCTGGGAGACCAACCCAGGCCAGTTTGTCCAGGTATTTCTTGGAATTCAAAGTCCTACATCCCAGGAAAACTCTCAGTCCTAGGCAAACTGGGCATTGCTGCTCACCCAAGGTGGATCCAAGTTTCTTCCTCCATTGCAAAGGTCATATTTTTATACTTTGCTCTGTCCTACCTCTCCTCTGTGATGTCATCTGATGGTCCAGCTATGCTTCCATTTGAAAAATGTTGTGTCTATTTTTCTGATAGGGTCTAGGGAAGGTTAATTATTTATGTAAAATCGATGGACTAGGCAGGGATAGAGGTTGGTATGGAGTCTGGCTCTCACTTGCTTTGAAGCCTCTTGACACAACTCTCCTAAACTGTCTAAAAAGTCAAGAATGACCAAAGAGGAAGTAGCTTACCTGGGGATTACACTGTCATATGGGGGTGGCACTGTCTGCTCTGGAGAGTCCCCAGATGAATTCCATTCATGACTTTCATCTCTTATTCCTAAAGGTTTTGGTGGCTTTTTGACCATGGCATGAAAAAAAGTCTCAGGATAGAAGTATAGTGAAGGCCACTGTGAAGGGCAGCTTGACTCCAGGGGTACAACAGAAGTAAGGCCATTGTCACTGTCTGCCCAGCAAGCACACAACAACCTGGGTCAGCTTCAGGAGGCAGGAACAGAAGGCTGTAAGAGGCCACCCATCTGTCTGCCCAAGGGTAGAGACTTTGTGTGAGTCTGATTCCACAAGACAACTCAGGCCAGCAAGAGCTGCACAAGCAAGGGTGTCCCCTGTCTGAAGAATGTCCTTCACGTGGTGTACCCTCTGCTTTTTCCTTCCAAAGTGTTAGACATGTCATCTTATGAACAGGTTTAGTCATCTTCTCATCTGATGTTTACCCAAGGTCCACTGTGTGGGGATTCATTTCCACTCCCCTGTATTTGTTGTGCCCATTCCTAGGGAAACTGGGGAGCTGGAGCAGAAACCAGCCTGGCTTTTCTATAAGGCATGATAGCAAGGAGCTGATAGTGAGCTGTATGCGAGGAATGGGCTTGGGAGTTTCTCATACCTCAACTCGAACCCTGGCTCTGTGACTGTGGTCAAGTTTCTAAATCTTGGTCTGAGGCTCAGTCTTCTGATCTATAAAGAGATGTTAAGAGTCTTACCTCACAATTACCGTGAAGGGCAAGCACCATGATATGTGTGTGGTGTTAAATTCAGGGTTTAGTAATTACTCAATCAGTGGTAGTTATTAATGGACAGCACTGTGTACTTGGGCACCTCAGTTTATCTCTGCTGGCCTCAGCCTTTCTCCTATGAAACGGGCAATATAATAGTAATCATCTCCAATGAATGTCAAGGGAATGAAATCAGAGACTATATGCACAGCACTTAGGCCAGCCTGGCATACAGCTTAAACTCAATATGAAATTGTCGCCACCAGTACTAACGGTAATACATGCTACAACAGCCATGAGCAAAGACAGAGACATTCTAGGAGTGACTTCTCTGGGGAAGGAAGTCAAGGCAGGGCTGCAAGAAGGCGGCAAGTGGAAGGTAAGGGATAGAGGATGCACAGCATTCCAAAGGATGAACTTACACTGGGAGCTCAAGTTGCCTGGGCTCTAGCAGGAGCCAGAATCCAGGTTTTACCACTGATTATCTGGGTGACCTTTGGAAAGTGACAGCCTGCCCAGGCCCCCACACTGTCATAGACAACTAATGGTTTTTCCCTCTTGATGTCATTCTGAAGAAAAAACGACGTAAGTCTTGCAGCTGTTCAGGCAGTGCCTGGTGCAAAGGAGGCCCCCAGCAGTTGTTAGCCATTACTGCAATTTTATTTCTATTTTATTAGGGGATAAGATGAGGGGTGAGGACATCCAAGGAGGGAGCCGACACAGTGAAGTTAAACCTCAATTAGGTTGGATGGGGATTTAAAATATGGAGCCTTTGTATCTGGCGGCAGGCGCAAACTCAGTACCACAATCCCGAGGATCCTTCCTGAGGCTGCACTGTCTTTACCTCCCTCACAGACCAGCCCCGAGCTCCACATCCTTCTATTCCATCAGAGTCTAAATTTACCCGCATCGTAATTCTTCACTCTGTGCCTCATCAGCCTGTGAACAGAAGAAGTGGTGGAGGCTGGGGGAGGGGGGCAAGACAGCTCTGGGCCTTGGAGCAACCGGGAGCTGGTTTCCAGTCATGGGGACCAGCCAGTTCCCCTGAAATAACTACTAAGGGCAGAGCTGGCTTTGAATGCATCTTTGAATGTTAAAATTAGAGCAAACCAAGATTAAATGCTCCCGAGAAACTGACCAGCTCCACATTTTTCTCCTCCCTCTCTCTTTTTATAACTATGACCACAGTAGTAATTCAATTGGAAACATATTCTGTCCCTGATTGCTCTAACACTGGCACTAGATCATTCCCAGGGCTTGATTTTTTTTTTTTTTTTTTTTTTTTATTAAATGCACACTGCCGTTATTTTCTGCCAGGACTAAAAATACATCTGACTGAGTAAAAGGCTCAGCCGAGGCCTCCTTCCTCTTCTCCTGAGGTCAGGACCAGGGAGAACCGACAGACTGATGGGCCTCTCAATTAATTTAAGCAGCATATTGTTTCCAAGGAAAAATTACCCCAGATACCAATATAATGATAAAAATAAAGATGGAGTTTCAGACCAAAACGATGAATAGAGAGGAGCTACATACTTTACCTTGTTTACTACCAATATTTTCTCACTTCTGGCTACCAAGCTATACTATTTAGTGCTTCATTTCTTGGGAAGGCCCCTCCTCCTTACAAATGCTGTTCCTTGCTATGGAACTCTTTTCCTCCTTCTTTCTCTTCAGTGAGCTTGTCGAAGCTCCAGCAGCAGCCCATTGTTTGAGCCTGGGGACCAATGGCTAAGCTGCTTGTCTGAGGCCAACTACCCTCTTGTGTTCACTCCCACCAGAACCTTTCTTCTGCATGGTAGCCCTGGTGTGGGTTCATCTGCTCATCAGGCCTTGCTGTCCTGGAGGCGAGGGAGAGTGTCTTCCTAGCTATTATCCCTCCAGCTCCTAGCAAAGGGCTGGGTGGGATAAGTGAGATATCAAACACACATGATTTAAGGAGGCTCCATGCATGCTGACACTCTGCAGGTATGTAATCCTAAGAATGAGCGCCCTCCAAGTTTCCACCCTGGCCTCCCAGCTTGTCTCATCCCAGGCTTGTCCCTGGGGTTGACCAACAGATGGATGTTGAGGCAAAGCTTGTCACTAGTACCTTCTTGTTTAGGAAGTTAATGCCTTGCTTGATTTTGGAACAGTACCCTGTTCTGGTGGCCCTCTTTCTTCTCTGATGGGTCCTCTTCTGCATCCATTTTGGCTTCATCTTCCTCCTGTCCCTGATGTTGCTAATGAGACGCTGTTCTGTGTGGTCCCATGGTGTCAGCAACATCCTAGCTATTCCTTCACACAGTTGCTCACTGTGCACCGCTGTGGAAGGCTTGCCAGGTGTTCCCAGTGTTTCAAGCCAGAGAAAGCCAGAGACTGTGCCTGCCTTGGGGAAACCTCCATCCCGGTGGAACAAACAGATACACAGTCAACTGTCTCCTCCTTCATGATGTCATCATTAATGAGATCAAGAGTGCTGCTTTATTCACCCTTCTGTTCTCAGCTTATCGTGGTGTCTGATACCAGACCATGTACATGACACACAGATACACTAGTGCTCACTTGAAAGAATGAATGCAATCCCACCTTAAATGTCAGCTTCTCTTTAAGAGCATCTCTAAGTTTAAGATGAAAACTTCTCTAAAATTAATTAGCTCATTCACTCAGGCATTCATTCAATAAATATTTATTGACCAGAATGAATGTGACTAGAACAGCCTGAGGTGTCTTATAAACATGTATCTCATGCTACCACACTTTATTATAATTATGTGTTTTTCTGCTATCTCTAGCACTCAGCAAGGGCAAAAGCCTTGCTCAGCTCACCTCTGGGCCTCCTATACAGCCCTGATGCCTCATAGGTGCTTATAGTAAAAGTTAGCTCAATGACAAATACAGTTTCAATAATTAGTTGCTATCATTTCAGTTCAGAATTTCAGGTGTATGACTTGCAGGCTTTTCTGTGTTGATGTCTCCTGGACTTGTTCTGGGTGGTGTGGAGGTTTGAATCGCATTTTGCTCCTTTGTTTTGTCATTTTTAAAAAAATGAAACCAACAGTTTTATTAAGATATGTCATTACATAAAAGCAACCTAGAAAACTGAACTCTCAACCCAGGGACGAGGTCAGGCTCTTTTGAGGAAAGGACTGGAATCAAGGGCCAACAACAGGTTTGTCCCACACAGTAGGGGGGTCACCGGGAGGGGGGGGGGCTTCAAAACTGCTCCTAATAGCTAAGGGCTAGAACTATTGGAGACCTCACAGGTAAGCACAAAGTAACCACATATCCAGTGGATGGAGATTCATTTTTGTGGGTCTTGGAGAATGCTCATCTCAGAAACTACAGGTGGTATAGGAGAAGAAGGAAGGTCCTCTACTTGCTCCTGCTCTGCTAAAGTGGCAGTCAGGGAGTCCAGCTCAGGCAGCAAGGCACGCCTAAGACTATCAGGGCTAGGAGTACGGATAGATCTCAGGCCACAGAACCTAGGACAAGAAGAGGGACTCTGGCCAGAAAATTTAGGGGAGGAAGAAGAGGGGCTTTGGCCTGGAGACTCAGCGGAAGAGGAAATCTGCTCACTAGCAAGCCTATGCAAAGGAAAATACCTCCCAGGAGGTGAGGGTGAAGAGGCACGCATACGGACTGCATGCCAAACAGGCGGGGAGGGAGGGTTTCCGGCCTCAGGAACAAGAGAAAGTGAGGCGGCCTGAACAGGCTTTCGTAAGGCGACCTGCGCAGAATGATTCCTCCCACCCACAGGCAGAGCGCGCAGGCTGGGAAGAGCTGACCTTCCCTGTGTGGTGCGGCTCCTGGAACCACAGCTTGGTGAGCTTTGGACAGCAGGGCGGGGATGGGGGGCGCGGGCGCGGGCGCAAGCTCGGCTGCGGACTCGGCTGCGGGCAGGGCCGCAGCCATCAGAGCTAGACCCGGATTCCGTGCTGTGAACGCGTCCTGGCAGGGTGGCACGGGTGCGCTGAACAAGACCAGGCTGGGAGGCGCTGCTTCGTAGAACTGAGCCTGGCCGGCTGGTGCGGCTGCGAAGGGCAAGGCCTGCCCTGGTTGCACGTCCGCGGCCATTAGGGCCAGACCTGGACGCACTGCTGCAGAGAACAGGGCCTGGCGGGGTGGCGTGGCTGTGTTCAACAAAGCCCGGAGGTGATGCATTGCGGCTGCTGCTGCGAACAGGACCTGGCAGGGTGGCGCCGCTGTGAAGAGCAAGACCTGCCCTGGTTGCGCGGCCGTGGCCGTCAGGGCCAGAACCCGACACACTGCGGTGGAGAACAGGGCCAGGCAGGGTACCGCGGGTGCACTGAACAAGGCCAGGACTGGATGCTGTGTTGCTGTTGCTGCTGCGAACACGGCTTGGCGAGATGGCGAGGCCGTGTTCAATACAGCCAGGCCCGGACGCGCTGCTGCTGCTGCTGCTGCGGAGGACGCGGCCTGGCGGGGTGGCACGGCTGCAGAAAGCACGGCCTGCCCTGGTTGCACGGCCGAGACCATCAGGGCTAGAACCAGATGCGCTGCCGCTGCTGCTGCGGCCGCGGCGAACAGGACCACGTGGAGTGGCACGGCTGCGGAAAGCACAGCCAGACCCGCGTGCACGGCTATGGGGAGCAGGGCTTGCCGACGCGGCAGCACGCCTGCGTCGATCAAGGCCAGGCCGGGAAGCGCGGCTGCGGCAAGTAAGGCCTGCCCTGGTGGCGCGGCGGTGGACATCACGGCCAGATTTAGAAACACTGCCACGAACAGGGCCGGGCACGGTGGCCTGACTGCGGGGAGCAGGGTCAGGTGCGGATGCACCGTTGCCGAGTGCAGGGCCTAAAGCATAAGCAGAGTGCTGAGGCGCTTTACCAGTCAGGGCACTACCGCTGCGGAGTGCGGGGCCTCTCCGGATTTGGCTGCCGAAGGCAGGCCCTGGATGAGTTTCCCTACTCTGCGGAGAAGCCTGAGACTGGTAGCCGGTGCAGGGCTCGGACCTCGGAGAAGATGACTGTATGGTGGCGACCCCAAGAGGCTGAGGGCACTCTAGAGATGCGGCAGCCCGCTTGCGGAGGGGCTGAGTTTTAGGACGGTTGCTCCTACGGCTGTTGCTCTGAGCCGAACGCCCACCGGGCAGCTCAGTGGCCTCCGGGGCTTGCCCCACCTCGGACCGGCAGCCCATCTGCAAGTCTATACGTGTAAGGTACACGCGGGGGCTGCGTCTGCCCTGGGGGGCGGAACTGTGCTCCGCAGGCAAGCAGGTCTCGGAGGTCGGTGCTGGGTCTTCACCAGCCAAAATGGCCACAGAGCGCAGAGAACCTGCCGCGCTGCTTCTCACGGGGTCACTTGACAGAGGCTCCCTGCCCGGAGCTGTGAGGACCAAAGGAACAGGATATTGATTACCGGTTCTGCAGGTGCCGGCATTCTCCTTCTTCGGCCCTCCAAGCGCCTCATCCCAGTGGCGCTTCTCCTTTCCCGACGAACGGGTGGCCATGATGTTAGCTCGTGCTCAGACACACGCCAGTCTGGCCGTTACTGCGATCCGGCTAGAAGCTCGTTTTTTCATTTATGAAGATCCAGAGCTTCCCTGGAGCGCAACCTCGCTCTCCCGATTGTGTGTGAGAGGCAGGACAAGTGTCTGAAGATCCCCAGTGCTCAGTGCAGCTCCTGTGCTGGTGAGTGGTGGCAAAGTGGGGTCCCAGATGCTCTTGAACTTTCTTGCATTCAGTTGGCTCCCAGGTGTGTGTGGGAAGGGAGGGGGAGGCTCACTGGAGTTCTGAAGCTGTCTGGGATTCAGCCCGGCTTCCACAAAAGTAGGGGGGATACAGGTCATGGTTACCTGAGACTTCAGATATTGCCCAGCACAGAGCCTGCTTCCAACACTGGCAGGGGAGGGATGAGGGAGGACTTCCCGAGGCCCCTGACTCAGTCCAGGTTTCAGCTGGGCTCCCAGGGGGCTGCGGGTTGTTCTGGGAGTTACCACCAAGGCCCCAGAAGTTGTCTAGAGCTTCACGTGCCTCACACACTAGTGTTCAGGATTCAGCCCAGCACCCACAGACCAGTTTCAATAATTAGTAAAGGGATGAAATCACCACACCATGCCATGGAGGTAGGTGGTCTCTATGTGACAGTTTGTCAGATTGAAAAACACCTAGAAAATTAATGAGGCACGCTTGTAAGAGTGTCTCTGAGGGTTTCCCAAAGTTGGCTGGTGCAGGAAACAGCGGACTGCTGGGGAAGACTTACTCTGAATGTGAGCTGTGCCATCCGATAGGTGGAGGCTGAGAAGGAGAAAAGCTGGAGAAGGATGCCCTCCAGCAGGCTTCCTGTTCCCTCTGCCTCCTGTCTGCGTGAGGTGAGCCCACACACCGCCTCATGCTCCCTGCCGTCGTGTTTCACCTCCAGCTGGCGAGGAAAAACTGTGGATTGAAACCTCTGAAACCAGAGGTCAAAAGAAGTTTCTCCTCCTTTTGAAGTTGATTTTCTTGGATATTTCTGTCATAGCGACAAAAAGCTAACGCACTTTACCTCTCTGTAAATACCTTGAGTAGATGGCTTATTTATCTTAGTGTACAATGAAATGCAAAGAATATCTAGGTTTGGAAGAGATCTTCATTCTCCCTTTGAATTTCTTCCTGAAACTTTCCACTTTCTTTTACAATACTAGCTTCCTCCCCCCCGTCCCCGCTCAGTCTTTTTTTTTTTGTTTGTTTGTTTGTTTTATTCTGGTTCCGGGAGTTGAACTCACGACCTTGCGCTTGCCAGGCAGGCGCTGTGCCGCTGAGCTAAATCCCCAGCATCCACCGCTCAGTCTTGTAAGTTCTATCAGTCTATAATACCCTAGTATAATAGCTTACTGACAAAAAAATTTTTAAATGGACACAGCTGAAAGATCTCAGACCAGATTCCCTACCTACCTACCTATGGTAAAAATTTTATATTCCAGTCTCAGAGCTGCATTTGACCCTCTGCTGACTTTGGATACCCCAGCACCCTTCTCTGGACTCAGTTTCCCTTTCTGGCCTGGTGAATTGTTCAAAGATCCTACAAATCTGACCCTTGGAGGAGTCAGAGTCAGAGCTTCCTCCAACAAAGAGACTGGTTTATAGTGTCCATCTGTAAATGAAAGGATAAAGAAAATTTTGTCTGTGCACACAACATAATATTATTCAGTGGTGAAAAAGAATAAAATCCTGCCATTGGCAGCATGTTGTGGAACTTGAGAGCTCTATGCTAAGAGGAGAAATAAGGTAGATCCAAAAAGATAAACACTCATTTGTGCAAGCTAAAAACATTGACCTTACTGAAGAAGACAGTAGAATAATGGTCACTAAAATGTACAGAGAGGAAGGACAGAAAAAGAATAGAAAACAGGTAGCAAAGCACAGTTAAATGAGGAATTAATGATAGTATTCTATAGCATAACATGGTAACTATAGGCGACAAAAATTTAGCATTTAGTTAAAATAAACAGAAAAGAAGATTGAAGATTGCCAGCATACAAAAATGATGGAATTGCTAATTACCCTGATTTGATGATTATACATTGTATACATGTATCAAGTTGTCATAATATACCCTATAAAATATACTAATATTATGTGTTTAAAAAGAATCAAGGGGGAAACAGAATCCTTCTCTTGCCTTTGGTCAGTTAGTGAATATGAAATAATATTCAGGACAGGTACTCCTTGTTGCCCCAAGATTTTGTTTAGTTCATAAACACTGCTTGAGACTCTGACTTAGGGTTTCAGACCTGCTAAACCGTAATGGTGCTGTGGAAGTTATTCCACCCACATAACCTCTCCGGATAGTGCTCCGCAATTCTCCTCAGCCGGGATGCTCAGCCGGGCTGGAGCACTGTGTGCTTCATTTAGTGCAAATATTGCAGGCCTCACTGTTTAGGAGTCAAGAGGGGAAAAAAAATAAAAAAATAAAAAAATTCTTGAGAATTAGAAGAAGGAAGGGAAGAGTTTGTAACAAGATGAAAATTTAATTTGCACCCCACAGGACAGGTGACAAGTTTGGTGTGGAGGAGGGGAAGGCCCCCAACACCAGCAGGGGAGCCCCTTCTTTTCAGACCCGAATCCTAGGCGCTGGAGTTTTTTGTTCATGAAGCCCACAAACCAGAAGCATAGACTTCCTCCCTGACTTCTTGAGTAGATGTGCATCTGGCATCTGGGTCCTGCATCCAGGATCAACCGGGAGCAGAGCCAGAGGTCCGCTGTCATAGCGAGGCAGTCCCATGTGCTGGCGTCCTTTAGCGTCCTGCATGGGCAAACGGCCTGTGAGAACTTTCTCTGCTTCCTCACGCCTCTAAGTGAGTTTTAATGGAACAAAATCCTCTTAGGAGGGGAGGAGAAACACCTGTCGCTCTCTTGGAGACCAGGAGAAGAGGCCACGTCCACGGTACTTTCGTCTCTCCCAGTGAAGCCTCAGAGAGCGTGGGAGTTGCTGTGAGGCTGAGTCCTTCACCCAGGGGCCTCGTCCTGGATGCTGGGTGTTGGAGACATCTTGGAAGTGAGCTATTCTCACTGTTATTGCTGTAGACTTCATTCTGCTTTATGTTTAAAAGCTTTACTATAAGCTTATGTGCCTGTGTGTGTGTGTGTGTGTGTGTGTGTGTGTGTGTGTGTATGGTGGAGGTGTTTGTGTGTATTTATGTGTATGTGGTTATATGTATTTTGTTAGCTATTAGCAATCTTTTTTTATAAAAATGTTACAGAAGTAAGTTGTCTCAAATGGTCCACCTCTGGCAAGTTTAGGTTCTGATTTTTCAATTAAAAATAATTCAGCAAAGTAAGAAGAGATAATTTTATTATGGCAACACACATATAAAATTGATTATTTAATCATTTTAAGTATTCAATTTAATGGCATTAATTATATTTACATTATCATGCAATTATTTGGACCCTCTCCAGAACTTTATCTTCTGAAATGCAAACTGTGACTTCACATATAAACAACAACTTCTATTTCTTCCCTCAGCCATGGACAACCACCGCTCTCCTTTCTGTCTGTGGAGCTGCTTGTTCTATCTTTCTCATATAACTGCAATCACATGGTCCCTGTCCTTTTATAGCATAAGTCCCTGAGGGGCATCCAGGTTCTAGAAAAATGTCAGGACTTTTTACTTCTTATTTTTTATTTTAAATCTGTACAACAAAGCATAAAAATTGTAGTATGTCATGTTTTGATATTTTGATATATACATTACATGATGTTAAATCAAGTTAAATATATTTATCTTCCCATTTATCATTTTTTATTGGTGAAAACTTTCAAAATCTTATCTTCTAGCTTTGGAAATGGCAGGTACAGTATTGTTATCTATACTTACTCTACTGTATAATAGAACACGGCCTTCTTGCTCCTAATTGTAACTCAGTTCCCATCAGTCAATATTCCCCCTCCCCCTACACCCTCCCTGGCCTCTGGTAATCATTGTTCTGATTTCAACCTCTACACGATCCACTCTTTTAGAGTCCACATTTGAAGGAGGCTGCATGGTACTTGTCTTTCTGTGTCCATGTGGTTGAAAATGGCAGGATTTCATTTATTTTATGGCTTCATAGTATTCCTTTGTTATTCCATCATATATATTATATATAATCTCATTTTTGCTCACTTATTCATCTATTCATAAACACTTGGTTTGCTTCGATATTTTGGCTGTTACAAAATATGTTCCATATTTTGCCATGAATACAGATGTTCAAATAGCTATTCAAATTCCTGGCTTTACTTCTTTTGGATATAAATCCAAAGTAGAATTTCTAGATCGTACAGTAATTTTATTTTCAGTTCTTTGAAAAATCACTAAACTGGCTTACACAGTGTCTAAACCATTTTATGTTTCCATCAGCAATGTACAGGGATCCAATTTTATATATCTTAGTCAATACTTATTTTCTGCTATTCAAAATGGTCATTTTAATGAGTATAAAGTGGTATATCATTGTAGTTTTGATTTACGTTTCTTAATGATTAGCGATGTTGAAAATTACTTCTCGTGCTTATAAATTTATTTTTATATCCATTTTTGATCTGATCTAGGCTGATTTATTTTTTACCATTAAACTGACTCATACTGAAAAGCCATTCATTTAAACTCAGTATCATTTAGTGCATTTCCATGGGCATTTATGGGACACTTACCCAGTAAAAGAAGGCCCATTTGCTAGGATTTCCTGGCTGCTCCTTCAGGGCAATAATCTGATGGAGGAGACTTGTAGATGCATAACTTTAAACAAGGCAATCTGCAAGAATGACTACATGAACTGTCCCAAGCAGATGGAGATTCTTCTTGGATTATGGAGGTCAACTATTAGGAAATTCACTGATTGGCTCATTCATTCATCATTCATTCATTCAGTAAATAGTTATCAAATATTTACTTTGTTTTAGGCAATGTGCTAGGTGCCAGGAATGTGGAAAGGAACCATTTCCAGTGCACTTCTAATCCTTTACAATTACCAACTTTCTCACTTACCCTTCAGTCATCACCAG